TAATCACGCGGTAAAAACACATTGCTATGAATAATAATTTTAAAGTATGCAAAAAGGAAAAATACAGAAATCATAAAGGTATTATGTTTTCGTAATCGTTTTGATGAAATTGTACTTTTCTGGGCGCCATGATGTAACAATGAATGTTGGTTAGTTTCAATATACCTATTAAGCAACTTTTCTCTGTACAAATATATAAAGCATAGTTTTCAAAATATCGCACTTTAAAACTGTAACGAACCTATGTAAATTTCTATTCTTGATGTTTCAACACGTATGTTTTGAACGACCTACCTTCTAGGTCGTTACCTTTCTGAATCTCCCGATTGCATTTTTATCTCGTCTTTTATACCGAAGGAGTGTAATGTGCACTACTGTTTTGTTAGTCCAACTGAACGGTGTTTTGTTTACCGTTCAGTTCATATCATTTTATTACCTAAATAATGTCTTTGATAAACTAATAATACGACCAATTGTTCGAGAAGTAGGTTGAATGTGAGTTGTAAATAATTTTAATGGGCATGGTCTTTACATTTAATTAGCACTCTTCTGTGGACCCATTTTACAAAGGCCTCAATCTTCTGTATAACCAATTTTTATATCATCTATGTTGTGGCTACATAGGTAGCTATAGGAAACACCAAGGCGTTTATAAGACGAATCTTTGTAGATTTTGTTATAATTCTATTTTTTGACTATACACATTTTATCATTGTTTTGTTGTTATTTGAGTTTTTTTTATTGCATGCAATTTGATTATGGATTTTAATTATTTTTTTTATTGTTTTATTATTATTGATTTAATAATGTAGCTTAAAATTTTATTAGTAAAATTTCATGTTACACAACATAGCCAGTTTCAGCTATTTTTTAAAAGATAATTTGTTAAAACGGGCTGTCACTAGGCTTCCCCTGTGGGTAAGGGTTTAGAATATTTCTGAGGCAAGGCATGCCTGTGCCAATTCGGCACTTATGTGAGAAATATACATGATAGTAAGTGATCCGCCCCACTTGCGACTTTGGACCAGAAGTGCAAATCTGATACTACGGGGTCAGTGGCCCGCAGCTTCGGCTGTACTAACCAATTGATGTTGAACTCGTAGTGGCTGTAGTTAATACCCAAACTTACGCGGGAAGAATGTTCAGCTTTGGTTCACATTCGGCGTGGAGTTGCGTATTCACCACCGGCTGCGGTGACCCAAAAATCAGCAGAAGTATTGGTAGGCCTCGCATGAAACCAAGATGGAAGTTATGTCTTACACACATTTCTTCATTGGTATCGGCGGAAATTTAATTTCCAATGGAGCGTTGATTGAAACCTTCTATTAATAATTAGGCATAATTAGGCATACAATATAAATAATTATTGAGTTTCTCATGAGAAACCTTATCTTCTAGTTTACTTTTAATTTAAATTATACGTATTTAAAAATAAAGAGTTTAATGAGATTGATTTATTTTATCAAGATTTATAGTATCAATATTACATATATTGTAAATATATAAGCGCAGAAGTTTCAATAAATGTTTAAACACAAAATAACTCATAGAGTTAAATGTAGAGTTAAATATGGAGTTAAGTCATAGAGTTATGCAAGGGCTAAACTTTGCATAGAGAGTGGAATAATTAGCGTTGTGCCAGGCACAACTTAGCTAATTAACTAAATGAGCAAGTAAACACATATTGAGTATTTCCGCAAAAAAACTAAAACATGTTATTTTTATACTTACAAGCATTTTTGCTTACAGGATCTTACTCGCCGAAATTAAGCTCGAGGGACAACCAAAATCCAATAAATACAACACCAACATAAGCCGCCTTTAACGAAGTGCAAAGGAACTGTCACTAAAAGGCAACAAGAAGAAATCCCATAATTAAAACACTAAATCCCTTAAATTGCGGCGCGTATACAACCACACCTACAGTTTGTTTTTACTGCAAGTCTCCAGAGTACTGGAACCAAACACAACACCACTGCACCCAGTTAAGGCCCTACGAAATTCAAAAAAAAAATAGAAAAAAACAAGACAAGGTAGTAAAATGGAATTTAAAAATTTTCGGTAACAAACGTATAATTTTACAGACATACGCTTTGGAACCTTAAATATGGATGAAAGCGACTGCACTTATTAGAACCACAATGGGGTAGAGGCTTGAAGTTTATTTTTATTTCGTGTTTTTTTTCCCATGGTGTTCTGAGAACTATGGATGATGCATAAGCAAAATGTAAGGTACAAAACGCGCACAACGCGATACTTGCTGCAGATGATGGTGATATGTGAAAGAATTACGGCAATGGTAAAAAATGTGGACGTGCGATTGCAAATATTGCTCGGAGTTGTCGACAAATGTAGAAGCTAGTAAGCTTTTATGAAACAATAAAATGGTGCCAGTGTGAATAAAAAAATTTCGTTTGGTAAAATTTATTTACTCTTGAAATGTACATAATTTGGTAATGGTTTTACAGAGAATAATTCGTTGAGTGTTACGAAGAGGACACAAAAAAAGTTTTAGCTAAACGAAATATATATATATATATCTTTTGTCGGATATGACACGTCTTGTGACGGAAAGAAAGGTTTGAATAGTAATGAAGAAACAACAACAGAACGTTCGCCTTTGATAATCTATTTAAGTTTAAGATATAGAATTAAGAAGCTTTTTGATATGTCTGGAGAATTTCTTGAATGTGGCTCAAAAGTTATATTATGTTTCGTCATAAATTTTTATAAGATACAAAAATATCGTTTCGGATAATATATACGAGACATGTTTTTTTCTTCAACAACCTAAAATTTGTTAAATTTTTTAACTTTCTTATTTTTAATAGACATGTGAAGGCGTCATGACCAAGCGTCAACTGTGAATTTTTTTTGATGTTCTTCAAAGTTTTTGTATTATTCACAACATTATGATGATAATATCGTATCTTAGATAGTATCTAGCTACTCATGTAAAGCCTTTTTTAACATTTTCAGTGATTCGCTGCACTTCAAATCTCTCATCAAACATTTCATTATACAAAAAATTGCTAAACTTCTGTGGTCTTGCTTATTTGCTTGGTAAACACAAACTAAGCATGACAGATGCCTGAGAGTTAACCCGTATATTGCAGATAGTACAATCAATAGAACATGATTTGACTAATGGACAGCAATTGTCACTTCTTAAGAAGAAGATATTTTCGAAAAGATGAATGATATTAAATAAATCTTAACTGTCCGATTACAAAATCATAAATTGGCAGGTATAACTTGTAATTTAAAAAACTCTACGGAATCTCAATAAAATATAATGGGATTTATAATGGGATAGTGTATAGATTAACTTAAACGTAAAGTAGTATATCAGAGAAGCAATAAGTGTGAAAGTGTTAATAAATCCTATTAATAATGCTATTATTAATGTATACGAGCACAGTTGCACGATAACTGAGATAAGTTTTATCAAACGTTTACCTTGGTGAAACAATACTTTTAAGAATCTAAAAATCACTATTCGTAGGTTATTTTATTGATCCAAAAGAATCGGAGACTAGGCACAATGTAGTGCATTGTGTTATATAGTAATTGAGGCTCTGGATCGAACAAGTTGTCTGTATTATAACCGTATCAACATCTTACTGCAACAGTAAATTATCTCGATATAAGTAGTATATCATATATGGCATATATATAAAAAAAGTATATATATATATGATCATATATACCTATATATGAAAGCGATATAACAACTACATCACACGTAACGTAAAAAGACTGTCATCAAACCACAGATCAAAAATCGATTGGAACTGATTCTCGTCAAATATTTGTCAAGATATTTACAAGGAAAAGACATTGTGATTATAACTTAAGATCAATGGAACGCGACAGAAATATATGAAGTATACATATATTTCTGCCCATATATTTTGTATGAATTAAGTAATATAACTGTTGTATAAGATAAGCGATTGATCTACTCCTGTTACATTGGTCATCAGTAATTAATCGTTAACAACCAACTATTTAGCAACTATGAAGTTTATTATAACTTAGGAGTTATATATAGATACATTATACCTTATAATTGTATAACCAATTTAATATAAGAAATTTTAGAAAATAGTAACACTGTGCGACAAAAATAATTAATTTTTCTCTACTTTTATTTTTTCAATGGTTTTATGTTAATTTTAGTCTATTTATCTCTTTAGTCTATTTACAACCCAGTTTTTTCTTAGATATCTGGGTTTTTGGCCATAATGGGTTAAAGTTCGTAATCGAGGTCGTGAAGGGGAATAAATAATACTTATTTTCAGAAATATTGTGTTCAATGAATTTGCTACGAGTAGATAACGATTTTAGCATTAGACACGTTCGCTAAATTCGGTTTCTTTATTGTTGACGGACAGATTATTTTTTAAATCAATCTGCACAAAATTTTGACCATTTTAATATATATTTAAAAAATCAATCTTATTGATAAAAAAGGAAAGCTGTATTTTGGGTAAAATCCTTAGGATAATGTTTGTCTACTTATTCGTAGCAAGTTTACTGCGGAAACGATGCTTGTATCGCTAACCCGTTATTGTAAAAAACTCGGATATCTAGGTGTTATTGCTAGAGACCCAGATTTTTAAAAAATCAAAGAAAAAATTTAGTGTCGTGTAGTGTAATCTTAACTTCGAAAGTGATATTCACGATCTCGAGGACTTGAAATATATTTCATTTTTTAATGGGTTTATACCCCATCTATAAAGGTTCTAACCCTTGTCTTTTTAATTTTTATAAATTCATCTAGAATTTTATTTTTTTTATTATAATTTTAGGAACAATAATTACTATATTTTCTAATTCATGATTAATAGCATGAATAGGATTAGAAATTAATTTCTAATTAGCATTTATTCCTTTAATCAATAATAAAAATAATTTGTAATAATAACTTGTAATAATTATTAGAACTACTGTTAAAAATTATATTAATAAATTTATTGAATCTAAAATTTATTTACCAAGCGGCGCTCTTGTTGGTGCCTAGGTGTTATTACCCACCGGCTTTATATTTTAAACCACAGTTTTAATATAAAATATGTTTTTAAACTTCTTATTTATTATAATATATATATATATGTATATATATATATAAAATTATATACAATCAACAGATTTTTATAACACTTTGACTGTTATAATTTCACTAGCAATTTAAGACGATTTCTAACGAAATTATTAATATTTTTATTCATTCATTGAATAATTTTTTAAAAGCCTTTGATAAATGCAAAAATAATATTCATATTAGATTATTAATTAGAACTCGACTTGGATTTTATTTTTGTTGCTGGGCTTCTGTGCAGTTGGTATTGCATGTGATGTTGTTATTGTTGCTATGCTGGCTACATGTTTTGTTTTCAATTAATATTAATTAAATTACTTTGAATAATGTTTTTAACCATTGTTTTATTAAAATATTAAAAGTTCTGAAAATCAAATGACCCCCAACAAAGGGCGTAACATAGCCAATGGACCCCCCTCTCAAACTATGTATACAGCTTTCTAAGTCAGCGAGCCATACAGATTTTTAAGAGCATATTAAATTAATATGCAACATTTTTGATAAAAAAAAATTTCAATTACATGCAATTATGATGAATACAAATGAAATCTATTGAAAACTAATAGAGCAAAATTTGTTTTTAGCATTTGTAGCTAGTCTTATTTCATTTTTTGGACTTTCTCGTGACAACTGCATTACAATAACAACAAACCAATAAACATTATTTCCACACACAATCCACTGTCAGCGCCAGCGCCAGCAACAACAATACTACAAAAACTGTGCAGCAAAATTTGGAAAACAAAAGAGAATTCGCTGCAAAGCAATTTTACTTTTAAATAAATTTTAATTTTAATTTCTTGCATTTATTTGATTTGTTTAAAAATTTCCTTTTTAATATAATTGAACATATTACATTATATTACACACTTTATTTCGTTGAAATTTAACTCATTATTTACTTCTTGAAATCGTAAATATTGATAAACTTCATACACTTGCATTCAATTTTTTTTTAACTTTAATACAAAATCAAACTTTTTCCATAATCTACTTTTCAAAATTTGAAGTTAAAAAGCACTTATTAACACAAAAGAACTTCTTTTGCAATATATTTTATTAATAAATATTGTAAACAAAACAAGTCGTATCAAAACTCGCGTAATAATTCTTTACAAGCCCGGCTATAAGCATCAATAACGCGGAACGCTACAGACGACCGAACCATACAAAAATTTCTACTTGAATGCAAGTCAAATAAATAAATTTCATACAAAGACTATGAGTTGGTAGCACTCATGCAGTGGATGGGATAAAATGTCAAAATTACTGCATATGTCAAATCTAATGCGTTCGCGAGAATGTCAGGGAAAACAAAATTAGATTGCGTGATTGGTTCGGCAACATATGATAGAAATGTTTGAATTGTTAAAAATGTTTTTTGTTAGAGTAATACTCTGCGCTATTGCCAACGTATTGTTTCATTAAGGCCATGTACGACTTCGAGTAAATTGAAATTTCCTAGGGATTTTTTGCGCTACACCTATGTAAATATTTATTTATATATTTATTGAGCTTATATATCATTTTTGGTTAAAAGTTTTCAAATTTATTCATTTAGTTATTTAACATCTTAAAAAATTTCCGCAATGGTAACACCTAATTTATATCTATATACCCTACTTAAAATTCTGGTAAATACCAAGACTTCCCTCAACTTACTATCAATTTACTTGAACTCGCACACGGTCTAAATTAGAGATTAATTTAATATTAAATTAAGATTATTTGCTAATTGAAAAACTAATGCAATATTACTTAAATGAAGAATAATAATTCAATAATTTATATTAAAATAATATCAAAAGCAAAATCGACTACTAGTTAAATATGGACGTACAAGTAATTTTAACTTAAATGTTTAATAAAATGCCTATATATATATACAATATACTATATATTTGTCGGTAATCGGTTAATAGCTATTTATACAACGCTTTTAGCTTATTTTTAATTGCAATTTTTTTATATTAAATCAATCCAATTGCACATAAAAATCTGACAGCCAACATTGCGATATGATTATAATTTGCACGAAATCAAATAAAATTATAAACGTAATTTTAAATTGTACAATTGTGCATCGATATTGTGAATAATTCTTCATAACAAAAACTAATTACTTATTCATACAGCACAAATATTTGCATTTTGCTTAGTTCTTATTTAGCTCGCTTCACTACAAACCTTTCCATATAATTCATGAATTAAAATTTTCTTAATATTTTTTTTCATTTTTGTTGTCGTAGTTACACTTATGTATCAAAATGCCGATCTTTTTAGCAATTTATTGTTTTATTTATTTTGATTTAAAAGAATTGTTCCTAATATAGTAAATTATAAACTTAATTAATTAATTAACTTAGTTTAAAAGTTTATAAGCTATAAACTTATATTAAAACATAAATTAAATTTTGCGGAAATTTCAATTTAAACGTAATTTTAGTTTTCTAATTCTTATAGTTGACCCGATCAGTTTAAACTTAACTTTTTAACAAAGCGTTCTGAATTGAACGAACAAAATTACACTGAAAATTATGATCTTTTGGTTGGTATGTGAAAAGGGTTCTAAAACATTTTTACGAGCGCAACTACAAGTACAAAAATGGAAAACAAAACCAAGATGACATTAAAATTAACCATATGTATTGATTTTTAGCGAAGTTAACGAAATAAACAAAACTACAATCAAAATATAAATTCTTTGTGCCGTATGAATAGCCTATTAAACGAATTCTAATAAAATGTTAAAATATGCATATTTTTTTGAAAATTTAATATATATCCTACGTTAAATAAATGAAATATATCATATTAATTTTTTTTAAAACAATTCAGTGCAAATTTTATAGTAAAGAAAAATTTTTAACTACAAACATTTTATTTAATTAAATAAATTTTTGGCTTACCGTATATAATTTTAAGGCCCCAAGTCTTTGAAGTTAAACCTGTTAGCAAATAGAAATTTTGACATTTATAAACAGAATGGGATAGGAAAGCATTGTCACCGTTTCCAAAATTAATCTGAAATTTTCCTTTTACTCTGATTTTAGTTTGGAATCATAAATTTATATTCAAAAATAAAAAAAATTTCAATTTTACCGTGACCATGAATGTCTGTATAGCATGGACTTAAGTATTCATACTTTCGATATATCGATAAACTGTACTATAGATACTGTACAAGTATAGTATTATCCTTAAGCATAGTAATATGTTCGACAGAATTATTAACAGCATCTCATATAATAAATCGAAATAATAAAATGAAGTCGCAACCTATTGTACTGGTGTGGTCGCAGTATTATTATGTGAATGTATTTAATGCAATATAACAATGTAAAAGTATCTAAAAGAATTTAATAGGACAATTATATTTCATAATATTGGTCATAATATTGATTGGTGGACAGTGTACTCCATCAAATCGCAGTGCACTGGAATTAAGGACAACTCAATGCAATACTTGCAAATCATTTAAAGTCATGTTATGCAGAGTGTCTCGGGCACGGCATGAGTACAATTGTTGTTTTTTTAATGCAAATTTTAAATTTGAGAATGAGAGAAAAAACAATATGGCCGTCCAAATTCCGACATGAGAGCTGGCGTATTTGTGCCTCGGCACTAAAGCAAAACAGTGCTGTTTAGTAATAAATTTCAGAAGGAGCTTTGGAGAAAAAATAGCAGTAAACAACACAGCGTTTTTTTATAAATCGCTAATGATATAATTATTACACTTTCCAATTTTAAAGAAAGGCGTAAGTACTGTTAACAGTTGTTATAAGATAATATATTAATAAATTAACATTATTACAGCCTCTGAGTTTTTTCTTGCTAGTTATTTTTGGTGGCAAATTGAAAGTGAGCATATCTAAATTTCCTTTTAAATTTAGGCACAATCAAAAAGTATCAATACTGATGTAACACTCTGCATAACATGCATTTTCGGCATAGCCCGAAGGGGCGAATTTTGTCGTGGCCGAAATAGTCTCATAACATAGCCCTTAATGAGTTATCAAAGATTAATTAAAAATTATTAATTAATTCCGCTGTAGTACATATCATTTAAAAGTTAAGTTTGATATGTAAAGTAAGTAGGGAAACAGTTTTCGTCCTCCTCATATTTTAAATTTTTTCAAAATTAAAATTTAAAAGTTCCATATTAGACTATATAAGAACATTCAAAAATGAAATATAAACTTCATATAAATGAAATTCATATACAAATGAATTTATGATAAACTTAAATTTGAAAATAAATATATAATGAAATATATATAATATAATCAAATCAAATCCGGATATACATACCATATATATAATCAAATTCGGATTCAATATATGAGAGCAGAAATTCCTGACTCTGACATTAATACGTACTGCTCAACAAAAGATATTTTACCTTTCATTATGCAAGTTGAAGGTTACCAGTTTCCTTATACTTGACTGATGGCATTTATTCTTTATGGTTTTATAGTATTCTCTCTCAGCACCGTATTTCACCCATATTACCTATTTCACTGAATTAGATTGAATTTTATTCTCATTTCTCATCATAAACTCGTCATCAATATGGTGGTCTAATTATGTTTTCTATATATACATATATTGTATACTTCTGAAACTGGGTGAACTTCATAATGGACTAGATTTTGGCTTACATATACATATGTACATATAGATATTGCACCAATTATAAAATTTATAAGAATTTACACTGAACTCAGTTGGTTGATAAGGTCAAGAGCGTGACCTGAAGTGAGTCATTGGGACGGTATCTTCTCCTAAATGTGTAATCGAAGTAATATTTTATAATGAAAAAAATTTTCATGACATATTACCTCCTGGGATATTGGTGTGTTGCACCAATGAAAAGCATATTGAACATGTATGTATGTATATATAACAGCAGATCAGGTTTTTAGAATTAAGTTATAATCTTAACATTTGTTTTGCTTTTCTGGTTTTTCTTCTCCTACAAGGGTTACCAGTTACGCCCGATAGAATACTTACTAAAACCAAACAAATAATATTGGCAATATATTTGAAATAACAACTTGTATCAATTACTTTTTAATAAGGTAGGGAGTATTTCCAGCACTCTAGACGGACAGACAGCATTAAATAACATCTTTTAATCGGCTAATCCTTTATTGGTACAAATTTTTTTAAAATAAATTCTCAATATAAATGTGTCGTGATGAACTCAAATATTCATAGATTTAAACCATGAATCAAGTCAAATTATACAACCTTTATTTATTTTAACATTTGTGAAGTATCTCACTCGGCTACACAGACCATTGGCGTTTAAATTGTTTGATTTGAGCTTAAATTAATTAATTTATGTGAAAAACACTATCTATTAAGTTATCTATTTCTCAGAAACACAAGCCTCAGGTACCAATCGTGAAAAAATATAAGTTGTGTCTACATTCCAGTACCAGACACTATTCTTAAAATTAGTGTCATACCGACAGCAACGAGTTTTTTTATTTTATAAATCAAAATCTGTTAAAAGGTAAAAAATCTGCTCGGTTATTAGTGACATCCTAAAGACCAATTGTTGTACTTGGTATATAATTATTCATAGAGCTGCCATGATTCTTAACTAAAGGTGTTAAAATATTTAAATCACAGATGAAGCCAGTACATTTAGTAACTGAAATATAATAACTTCAGTAAAATTGATTAAAATATACAATTGTATTGCAGTTGAGTACTTTAATCCAAGGATGAGCCCTTTTTATTATAAGCATATAGATATAAGTCCATAGAATGCAATGACTGTTCTACTACACTTACACCAACGTCAAAAAAACAAAACAAAAAAAAAAACAGCAAGGAAAAGTTTGGAAAATATACTACTATATACAATACTACACATAATATTTAGTTTAGAGTTTAAGCATCCACACTATATACTTCATAATTTATTACTTAATACCGTATGGTCTCATCTTCATCTTTTGGCATTACTGGGCTGGTTGATTTTAAGTCTTGACAACTAGATTTTTTACCTTTCTTGTAAATGATTAGATGTGTCCCATCTTGTGACTCTCATCTCTCGAAAATTAGATAATTAGTCAGTTGCATTATTCAACCGCATTCATGGATGACATTTACGTCGTGTGGTTAGAGCTATAAGCGCCTGTTAAAGGCAGTTTTTCTATATTCTTGTGACGTAACTAACACAACGTAATTACTGTGATTACACATATCTTACAGCCAAGTAAGTAACCAGGAAAGGACTTTGATAATAAATAAATAAATATAAATACATATACAAATTCATTATCTGACAGCTCCTGCCGACGTATCTAGGGACCCGCATACAGTATTTTCATTATAACTTAACTTGAGTAATTCGTGATTGCGACGTTGATAGAAGTAGTAATGTTTAATTTCTCTGGATCCAAATAGTTTCTGGAGAACTATTAGTGTGTAGTACTAAATAGCAAACCAATACTAACAAACTTCACTAACAAAAAACATTTGTTAAAATTACCTCTTTTTTCTAAAAATACTCGTAAATGGGATAAACTTAATAAATAATAAATCTACTTTGTTTCTTATTAAAAGTTTTATCGTACACAATCGCTCGAAGAATTCAAATACTTATTGATTTGTATAACTATTGCCTTTATAAAAACTTTTGTAATACGTACATACATACATAATAGAGTAGATTGTACAATAATAACATAGATTGCTCTTTAAGTCTGTAAATTAGTCTTTCCGTATTTGCAATTTATAAACTATAGTTTTATACTTCTCGCAAAATTAAGAAGTCTGTCCATCCTGGTTCGTCCAAGAGTCATGAAAAAATTCATATTAAAATATTTCGGAAAATATACTACATAATCACCTACATCACAAATACATAATAACTTTTTAATTTATAGATCCACTTTTAGAAATCTTATTCACTCTCAACACACAAATACACATTTTATAACTACACACAGTTTTACTAGTTTTCAAAGCAGACATTTCCTAAAGAACTAATGCTTTGCTAAACAAATTCAACTGTTTCCTTCGTACACTCATCACGACAAAAATCTCTAGGAGTCTTCAATCCTTCATGAAACTAACAAGCTTTAATATATATATGGACCAGCGTTACGTTAGCACGTGCAAGGTTATCTTTGCTGTCCACCACTTTTTACGATTGGGAGAAGAGAATGATAGAAAGAGGGTAAAGAATTCTTAAAAGAGCATAGGAACTCTTATTTCGTCATTGTTTGATTTTCGAAAGCCCGTTCAGTCCGTCCAATAGCTACATTATTCTCTACAAACTTTATGTGAACCATAACTTATATTAAATGAACATTCCTTATTTAACTTTGTGGGACAACGAGATTATCATGGCAACGTGGCTCTTAGTAAAAATAAACATTGTTATACAACATCAGATCACTTTAGCTTATCGTCTAAACTGTGTCTCAAATGGCAATAATGTCAGCTCACATGACTTGCAACAATCCCACGATTTTAATGTTAAAATACATATATTTCTAGGTTTTCAGTCGTCCAGATAAATACGACCTAAGCAAACAGGTTAACGTCGTAACTCGACATGGATGGTACGAGCCGCTTTCTAATTGTGTTGGATATTTAGCGCTTGCAAGCAAAACGAACTTAATAGGTTTCCATTAACATGTAACCCACAGAATACCATTGGGGTACAGCATGACGGCAGCCTATGTCTATTATTGGATAATCTCACTTCATCTTAATAGATGGAGAGAGTTGAGCACTTGTAGACAGACCAAACTCATGTTACCTAAACCGTGGGCCAGAGAAGCGATAAAAGTGCTTAGCTATTCGCGGAGCACTCTAAGCTGGGTGACCTCACTAATTACTGAACATGGCAACTTCAAGTATCACCTCAAAAAGATAACTCTTGCTGAGGAAGACACTTGCAGACTATGTCTAGAAGAAAAGGAGACAGCGGTGTGTATATTGTGCCAATGTCCAGCACTGGCAAGTAGGAGGAAGACTGTCTTGGGACACCATTGGGTTGGTGACGACTTGGCAGGAATGAGAAGCTAAATGAGATGCTTGCATTAACAAAAGATGTAGTTATGAGAACGGAAGCCACTCCAGCTTTAACTCAATAACAACATCCGAGAATCGAAGGACGAAAAAGGACCCAAGTCGTTTCATGGTCTACTTCGACTAATCCTTCACTTCAGTGGGGCCACTTGTTGGACAGTGCGCTGTCCCAACGTCCCACCATATATATAACATGTAACCCATGTAGTTTAACCAACAATTCTATATTGACCAACTTGACAGTATAGCATTCCAATCTTGCTTTGTGTGAATTAGAGTTTTGGATATGTCAATATCCAAATAATATAGTCAATATTTATCCACAAATTTCTGCTTGATAATTGGCACCATTGATTTATTTTTGTTTTTTTTTTCATAAAAATCAGGAGACGTTCGTGTTGGATTACTGCTGTGCAGATTTTTTATTTGTAACATTTTTTTTGCTTGCGAAATGGATAAAATAAACAAATTCGTTTATATGAACAAAATTTCTGAATTGAACAAAATGGATGAAATTAATAAGATTGCTTAATAGAATCAAAATGATAACATTATCAATGTTGATGACATAAACAAAATTCCTTAATTGAACAATATTGATAAATTGTACAAAATTGATAAAATGAACAAAATTGCTAAAATGAACAAAATTGATGAAATGAACAAAATTGTTGAAATGAAAAAATAGATAATTCGCATACAAAATATTAATAAATTCTATATAAATAAATTAAATAATTAAATATTGAGCGTGTAGGGAATATAAAAAGTGTACTATGTTTAAATTTAGTTAATCATTATCATTTTCATCATTGAGTTCTTGATCAGTAGTAACCACAACATCGATGTCCTTATCTTTACACTCATCAGCATCTAATGTATGAATGAATTCATCCTCATCTGGTGAATGCGATGGACCTAGAACTTGGTAATAATCAGCGTCATCGGAGTCATTTGATTCATTGGGGCCACCATAAACATAACCGGCTAGTTCATCTTCGGAAGAGTCATCAGTATAAAACTCTTCACTATAAGCTGTTATAATATATTAGAAAAAAATATTAGAAAATAAGGAAATGTGTTACCTATTCATTTCAAAACTTACCTAAGTTGAAGCGTTCTAAGGCTTTACGGATCTTATAATCGGTAGATGGTTCTGAGTCGCTATCGGGATAATCATTGGTGTAATAGTTTTCATCGTTAGAGTCATCCTCGTCAAAATCGCTTTCTTCGCCATTATGTATGCGCAAAGTTTCTTCGTAATACGGGTGAGCGCTAAAATTATAATATTTATGTATAACTTAAAATCCAAAAGTTATAAAACAGTAGTAGTTAGAAGTGCATTTTTCTTAACATTTTTTTTTAACAATTTGTTATATATCAAACTATATAAACAGAGAACATTTTAGAAAAAAATTTGACCTAAATAATGTAAGATACCACTTCTACTACTACCACAATCTATCGTGTAATTCCATATGTGAAAGTCGTGCGTGCAATCCCAAAAAAATTTTTCCCAAAATAACACTTTTTGGAAGTGTTATTCTCCATAAGTATATGTTTGAAATGATAAATTTGCAGTTGCCTCCCAAGTCAGGTTAAATTGGAGTGACGGTTATGTACACCAAGTCTTACTTAAGGGCAAATAGTGGTCTGTTGTAATACCACTCTGAACAACAAAGAACAAAAAAAGAGAATACAGGACAACTTAAGTTTTTATACTAAAAAACAAATTGAATTATATTTCAGTTCGCATATATTAAATATAGATGAAGCTATCATTCGGAGCTTACTAGTGGGCGGAGTAAACACTGTAAACATTGGAGTATTATAACGCTGTGTACTCTTCTGCTTCAATTGAAGATTACTATTACTTACGTTACAAACAGTTGGCGAAGGATAAGGTATTAAAGATAATACCTGTCTGATTTCGAACAGCTTTGCTCAGATTCAAGAATATTTAGGTAAAATTAAGATACAAACCAAGGTCACTGGATTAGTAATCAACATAATCAAAATAAATTGGTCTTACTAAATAATTTACACAATAAGAATGTTTATAATTTCTGTTACTAAGATAGCTAGCAACATCTCAAATGACGATGTCCACGAAATTTACAATATGGAATTTAAAAATGTATTAACCTTTGCCAAATCTTTATAATATGATGACAATATTAAATAATATACAATTTTTTAAATTAGTTTCAAAAATATTTTGTTACCGACATTGCGACTATATTTATCTGCAGGATGCTATAGACAACAGTTAAAATATCGGTAAAAATAAAATATACAGGGTTAGGCGATTCAATTGAAGTGTTACAAACGACCATAAATTACAAAAATTTGTAGAAATAATTAAAATTTCAGAATCCATTTACTTTAGCTCGATGTGAATGAAGGCCACCCTTTCTCTTGACTATAACCTTCAAACGATTACAAAAAAGTTAAAAAGTTGAATGTTTCACGAATGTGATCTTCCGGTATTTTGCCCCATTCTTGAACAATGCCTTCCTTCAGCACATCCATACTGGCATATATTTTAGTCCTCACCTTGCTCTTCAAAATGGCCCAGATAAAATAGTCTATCGGATTTGCATCTGGCGAATTCGAAAGCCATTCGTTTCGCGTGGACAATTTTTTAACCAGTCTTGGTCCACACGAGATTTATGAGACTGAGACCAGTTGCAAGACTTGTTGGAACGTCAACGGCCTACGACCGAATAATTGTCTGCCAACGGTTCTAAAGCATGTTCTAAAACATTTTCCCCGATAATAAATCGCATTAACTTTGGCACCAGGTTGCATAAAAATGATTGGAGAGCGTCCATCGGCGGTCAAAGCGGCCCATACTTCGGGTAGCCATTCGTAGTTTTAAATGGCAGTGAACGACAGTGCGTTCAGTTAAGTAAATACGATAATTTTGAGAGTTTATAAACTGCTCAATGAGGAAATTTTTCTCATCAGAAAATACAATATTTGGAAATTTGTGCAAGCGTAACAACTCTTTTGCTCTTTAGAGTGTAACTTTTTGTTGCCCCCAAGCTTTTTAGAACTTGTAAGGCTTTACCTTGAGTTCATTTGGAAATATGCGTTGAATGTTTCGCTGGTATATTTTCAGTTCTTTGACCATTTGATTACCACTACGACGTGGATTTCGTTTAAATTGAATGTTGCTGTTTTTTTTTTTCGAACATCACCACCACTTTAGCATATGGCGACGATGTCCAGACAAATTTAACGCAATCACACCATTACGTTTGAATTCCATTTTGAATAACTTTTGCTCCACAAAACTTAGATGCAAATGTTTGTGGTAGCTTATAAACAATATAAACAGATAGCATTCGTATGATTTTCACGTAGTTGGCAAGATCAGTTCGACAGCTAGACATGTGTGTAGTTGGTAACACTTCAACTGCCTAACTCTGTATTTAAAACTAATTTTATTAGTTATGTATTGTTTAATATCGACCAATTATCCGGTACAAAAATATATAATTAAATTTTGGTCATTAAAACAATGAATTATAAAAAAAGTAACACAAAAACAACTTAAAACTTATTTAGTATAGTTATTAGCGACTCACTAAACGATTCTCATATATACATTAATGAAAATAAAGACTTGGTCCAAAAATTAATAATTTTGTTGTATAATTAATTAGGTAAAAAGTTCAAATATAATTTAAATAAAACAAGAGTTTATACATATTAGATTTTATTTTAATATATTTATTTAAACACTTATTATATATTTTAATTTAAGTGTATCGTTAATATATATATTAATATTTGTCAGTATTTATTTAGTCATGTGTAAATGCATGTACTGATTACGAAAAATCTTACTCAAAACATTGTATTTATTATAACTAAAATATTCCATATGCATTTAGATTATGATATATATATTTTTTTTAATAACTAATATATAAAAGTTTTGTTTTCAAATTTTAATTTTTTTATTAATTTATTAATTTATTTTTATTTCTCTTAATTTATTGCTTTTGTTTAATTGAATACAATATATATAGAATGAGTTCTTAATTAATTACAATTTTCTTCTAGTTCGTTTCTTGTGAAACCAAGTATTTATTTTCACATATATACTTATCTATACATATTCTTTTTTAATAATAGATTCAATTAAAATATTTGTTAAAAGTGCATTCACAAGTCTTATATTATAAGTAATTGAGAAACATATATTTCAATCAAGATGAAAAAAAATAACTACAACAAATACCGATACGCAGAAGTTAGCGTAAACAGAGATTTTATTTGATTTTAATTAATTTATTTAATTAATTAATTTATTTATCTATTTAATTTATTTATTTAAATTATTTAAATTTGCGCAGAGGCGATATCATAACTACTGAGGTGCGATTATTGCTAATAGAAATTTAAATTTTTTTGAATTATTTTTAAATATATTTTTACCCGACAAAGTGAGAGGCGAACAGGAAAAGAAAATTAAGAAAAAAAAGTATTAAAATGCAAAGTCGAAAATCGAAAATGTTAGAAAGATTCGGCAACATCTCTGACTTTGTAAATTTTGAGACATAAAGACATTTATGCCGTTCTTGCAGCATGATAGATGATAAAGGAACTTGACACCCAGGTGGTCACACCTTTTGTTAGTCAGTTTAGGAAACAATGGCAAAATTTGTTATTAAACCATATAATTTATGACCAAAAATAAAGTCGAGTTAACTCTATCTTGCACTGAACATAATATGTATAATATTGTTGATTACAATGACTATTATGAAAAAGGGAAAATATCCATTGAACGTAGTAGTCTAGTAATGTTATTTATCATCACTATATGTTATCTTAAGGTTAGGTACGTGATGCCTTAAGTAACTGATAAATTATTTTTTTATTTTAGGAATTTCTTTTTACGAAATTTTAATAGTAATTAATTTAATGAATGAAACATCTACAGTGGTGTTATGTGCAAAATGAAATACCGAATAGTTATTTGATAGAAACATATACATACTTTACTTTTTATTATAATTAATTTCTTTGATTGGTAACATTTATGCGCAAACTAAATTATACGCTCTAGCAGGCAGTGTATAGACAGTTCTATAACTATTAAGCTGATTATACACAGAACATAAAACTTATAGTATAACAATACGAAAATTCAACAATAGGTTACAGAACTACTCACATCTAAAATTACTTTTAATAATAGTCTATGATATTGTAAGCCAATATTGTAGTAATAACAAAGGATAATCATAAGAATAAGTCACCTATAAAATGTTGAGCGCAACACCATACAAAAGGTTTAGAAAAGTAGAACAGGAAAGCAGATCAATGGATTGAGCACTTATAAGTATTAATAAGTAATGGATTATAAAATTAATCACTTATAAACTATGTATGGTAATATCCTAATCATCGAGTTAATCACCTATAACATTTATTTGTAAATGTAAGAATAGAAATTCCTAACAATAATAGAATTGAAGCAATAGCATATTAATTTTTTATAAAGACAAAGACATCAATTAATAAAAATAAATAAACTTAAATTTGTTTTTTACGAACAATAAAAATAAAAAAATTATAACGATTATTTGATTTTGGTAATTTTAATACTTAAATGACATTGAATGCATAATCAATTTGTTACTTAATATTATAATTAAAATTATTATAATTAGAATGTTTAAACATAAAATTTTTTTTCTTAAATAAAACTTTGGTATTATCTAATGGTTTCAGTTTGTGAAATAGAACGAAATTAGTTACGAAATTAGGATTAAAATGTGTCTTGCATATACCCGCCGTTCGCCTCTCCAAATATTATTAGAGAAAATTTGTTCTAAATATGATATTTTTTTTATTTTTAAATTTATTATATTATATTTATAAATTTAATTTCAAATCTCTTTTCTTACTGTTACTATTTTGATTGGTTAGATTTTGGATTTGGTCGGTCGATAAAATATTAAATTTTGTGAACAATAATACCTTAAGCATATGGAAAGTAAAAAAATTAGATTTGATCATTTCGTTGGCCAAGTACGGCTTACAGCTATTTTAGAGTCTGTTACATAGTTTATTTAATTGTTTTTGTATAAAAATAGTGTACTAATTTTTTTAAAATTATATTATAAAACATAACAATGACATATTACTTATATTATTTTAATTTAAATGTACTGAAATACATTATATTATTCAAATTAAGAAATCTTAGTCAAAAAATTAAGGCAAATAAGTTGCTGTACATTAAGTCTTTTGTTCATACAATATTTTGTCTATAATAATTTTTAAAAAAGTATATATATATTCACGTATATATATATATTTTATTTATAAAATCTTAATTAAATGAAAAATTACATTCAACGCACTGATCTTGTCAAAAAAAAATCATTAAGAAATTTCCTATTCATTAATCTGCAAATATGACAAATTCATTCATTTGTTTAATTATTTTATTTGTTATTATTAAAAAAATGGAATATTTAAATTTAAATTTTAAATGCAGTTCTGGCAAAAACATTAGCAAATGAAATATGAAACTAAATATTGCAACATTTGTAGCGCCCGCAAGTTATGAACGATGTTTTTTAACCACAAATGACATCAAATATTAGCAAAAATTAAAAAAATCATAATTTAAGTATGTTAGGTTAACATAAGAAACATATATATTAGGAGCAATGATTAATTATGTATGTATGTATGTATGTATATGCGTTTTTTCTAAATTCTCTTTCTAGTGATAAGAAATTTTTAAGAAATGGTATGGGGGAAATAAAATTGATTATATAGATTCAAGTCTTTAACGGTTACGATGTCTAAAAGGCAAAATTTTTTGTGTATTATAATGACAAAATCAGTAATATCTTCTAGTTAAAAAAATTCTTTTGCAAGACTCAAAAACAATAACTCACAACGAAACGAAAATGCAACTTCAAAATAAATTATAAATATATATATAAAAAACATCCACATATATTATACATATATATATATATTATACATATATTATATATATACATATATTATATATATACATTAAGACTGAAAAGTTTTCGGAAATTCTCATTTAAAATTCGCGCGCTGTATATTTTTCGATATTTTAAGTTTATGTAGTTTGGCAGCACTGTCCTTAATTACTATGCCAAAAATGAGCGCGATCTGTCAGACAGTTCGTTTACGGCAGCTGTTGAAACCAGTTCCCCTCAGTAGTGCGTTGCGAAATGTCTTCGACGGTCGTACGACCGTCCTGAAAGGCTTTGTACCACTCATAAACTTGAGTTTTCGATAAAACTGATTCCCCATAAGCCTTTTGTAGCATTCGCAACGATTCTGCACACGAAATTTCGTTCGAAACACAAAATTTGATGCAAACTCTTTGTCCAATATTTTTTTCCATTGTTTTTTTCGCAACGCACTACTGAGGTAAACTGGTTTCAACAGCTGCCGTAAACGAACTGTCTGACAGATCGCGCTCATTTTTGGCATAGTAATTGTCCTTAATTGCTGCCAAACTACATAAACTTAAAATATCGAAAAATATACAGCGCGCGAATTTTAAATGAGAATTTCCGAAAACTTTTCGGTCTTAATGTATTATTATATATATATATAAATTATACATATATTATATATATATTTTTTTTTTGTTTAATTATTACATATACTTGGACTATTATTTTATAAATTTTATAACTTTAGAAAATCAATGTTTTAACAAAAGATATATAAAGATAAAGCAAGAAATTTAAACCGTCTCTATTGTCTTAAAAAAAAATAATTAAATATGTATTAGATATAATTCAACTACATGGGTACATGGTCAGCCGGAAATTCAATTAATTAAAATATAAAAAGAATTTGTGTTGTTGTAGTTCACCACTTTTCGAAACCTCTCCATACAATAGTTTCTATTAAGTAAAATAGTCACTATCGTCATAACTGACGTTAAATCACAATTTATAAAATACATAGAAAAACATGCATTATCGAAAATAAATAAACGCAAAACATATAAAAATAAATAATGATAAAGATTTGAATTGTATGGTAAGTATTCAATTTAGATATTGAATAGTATCTAACAATATGAAATGATGAATTAGACATAGACAACATAGTAACAGTCTGGAAACAGTGGATATAAAGAGCTGTAGAAGAATACTTTGGCTTACCTAATCATTAGTTTTTATGTCATCACTGTACGTTAAGTACAATTATGTACTAATAAGCTCGGCGGGTTACAACAACAACAACAACAACAACAACAACAACAACATGTACTAATAAGGAATGAAGGAATGACATGTATGAAAGGTGGGTCACATTATGATCTATTATAGTCGTAATAACATAATTTTAATTCAAAATTATTTCATCCAGTCACATGATGTTATTTAGTCGGATTAGCTTGCAATTAAAAATATTTTTTCAAATTTGAATATATATTTTAATAAAAAACATACACACCATAGCACATATAAAATATAACAGTAACAATAACATAATTTCAAATCAAAGATAGATCATTCAAAACAACGTGATAATAATTTGATAATTTTGAATTTGAAAGAATATTTATAATGCTTGGTTTCGAATCCAAATACATGTGCTTCGCTTATGATCCATCACAGACACAACAATTCTTTGATATAATTTTAAACCAAAGATATCTCATTTAAAATCCATGACACGATTTCGACTTTGTAACTTTTGGATTCAAATGAATATTTATTACATACCATGAGCTTTGAATATGTGACAGTGTGTTTAAATGACAAATATAGAATATGTGTATATATAATAAATCTTTAATTAAACAATAATAAAACTTTAGATAAATGAGTAAAATAAATGTTCGCATTAGATTTAAAACAATATTAGAACAGAGCATATGTACTGTGAAATATATTAATATGGGAAAGTATTAAATTAAACGAAAATTGAAAGCGAATAGTAACAAAATATAGACTACCTTACGTGATTTTATTTAATTTTATATACAAATATATATAATATAAATTGAAGTAGAACGCAATTCTGAAGTAAAATGTTTACAAATTAAAAATTGAGCGTTTCTAAATCTTGCTACTTATAGATACAAATAGTTATAATAAATGCTAAGCATTTAGCATATAATAAAGTTAATTAAATAGATGACGTTGTGATAATTGTAGTAGAAGTAGTAGTAGTAGTAGTAGAAGAAGTTGTAGTAACAATTTGTGGCATTGGTGTTACAGTTGTGGCAATAATTAGCAGTCGAACTTTCTAGTATATATATATATAAACATATATATATATATATACTATATGTGTATATATTTATATATTATATAAAAGTATATGTAATACATATATATATACAAATATAAGTACATAATCATATTTGTTTTGTTTTTACCAATTTGTGTAGTACTTGTTGTAGTAATTAAACGGATAATACAACCTTAATTAATATAACATATTAATAATACAATTTCATTTGTTGTATTACATAAATTAAATTAAATATAATTATCAAATAATATTAGCGATCAAACGGAAATTATTTAAAGATTTTTCAAAGTATGTAAAATAATAGATTTTAGAATAATAAAAAAAAATATAAAATGATAATTTCGATTCTGATGTTCAAAAATCAAGACTACACATTTTATATGAAGCTGCTATGTATATAAATCTGATCGATAAGTATAACGAACCTTAAACGATTATCATCAATATCGGCATAATCGTCCTCTTCCTCCTCCTGGTCTTCAGCTAAATATAAATCATACACATAACCAGTGTCGGAGTCACTAGGCTGAGTGTTCCCTCCTCGAAACAAGCTTGCGTTAGTGTTAACATGAGAAGCGCGATTAACTGATTCAGCATACAATGAAGAAGATGAAGCACCTGAAGTGGCAAAACTTGTTGATGGTTCATCTTCAGCAGCCTGCCCCACGGGCTGCTTTTCTATATCAACTATTGTCAGCTTAGGGCCCATGGATACTTCAAGTTCGTCACTACATTCTTCTCCTTCATTAGCTTTTTCCAACAATGGTTTGCGTAAGCAATTAACAACACGAAAACGATTTTCTTGCGACATTTGACGTTTTTCCTCGCGCTTACGATGCAAAAGATCGCTAGTTCTTGGATGAGAACGACGAAATTTAACCAATTCTTCAGCCTCTTCTTTGGTGAGACGCGAAATAGCTTCCTCTTTGGTAAGACGGACAAATTTGGTAGTAGCAGCGTCATCCTACAAATAAGAAAATATTTTATAACTAATACTTAACACCATTTTACAAAATTTTTGCTTTTGTATTTCTTTATTTACAATCTACCAATAGCCAAAGCCTACTAATAGCCAAAAATAACCAAAATGTTTGAACTCTAAACTACTACTAATTACGTAAGTACTATATTGGTATTCTTAAAATTTCAAATAACTGCTAAAATGTAATCATCTATCACAATTTTTGCCATACCAAGGCCATGCGTCTGCCATAGATGTATAAGTTTTTGTAAAACTCGAGAATACCGGCTATAAAGCTATTCCATATGCTGATGATATTGGGAAATATATCGCTTACTCTAAAATATATTTCTCAAAACAGGATATATAAACGTTCTTGAAAAGTGGGTAATAAATTTGAGTGTGAATCCAAATCCAACTAAACTTGTAATCGCTACTGAAAAACATATTACATATCACCTTCTTATAAACATATTTCTCAACCTAAATAATAAAGCTCATCTTTCTAAGTGTTGCTTTCAAAAGAAACATAACTGAAAGATACAATATCCGCTTCGAGACCAAGGTTGCCTTACAACAAGGTTCTCAACAGGTGCCCGACTTACATCTCTCAGGAAGAACGACGTTTTCCGTGCATCAAAAACTATTCTAGCTTAATTAAAATCAAGATATAGACAAGTGCTAAACAGTCGCCTATTTGTTCTCTTGCCCGGCTTCCTCATCCACAATCCACCCCTTCTCTCTTATTCCCCTCCCCCTACCTTCAACCATCACCCATCCAGTTCTTAACTCATGCATTCGTGTTGTAAAATCTTTCATGTTATCAACTTTTAGGTCACCGGGGGTAACAACAATAGATTACTTTTTAAAATGGAAAATATAACTTCACCGAAGTAAAATATGGGCGATTTTCGTTACAAGAAAGCGACGTCAAAATCCAATACAACTAAAAGTCAGCAATAATAACGACTTTTGGCATGAAGTGGTAAACTACAATATTGGAATTAACGCTCTACGGGGAAAGCAGATACAATATTAAAAGTAGAGTATATACTCATGGACCATATGTTAAAAACAAAATTTTCATCTACAAACATATAAACTTATCTCCACGAATTAGATAAGCACTAGCCGAATGCACATCGTGCATGAATTTAATATGATTACCAAGCCACTGCAACATACAAGGAAATAAAAAGACGCTAACGAAACATCTAAATCAGTATTTAAAAACTTTCTCCTCTTTCACGAAAATCATAACACCTCTGACACCATCAATCATATTAAAATTCATTCTCAAAAGAAAGAGGGCGCGTCCTTTCCTATCAATAACTTTCATTACCAATCCAACAACACACTAAATAACAACATTTATAACTATATTAAACTCCAACAGGATATTGGTCTTTACCGTGTTGAGTTATCTAAAATCATTAGACTTCGCTAAGCACACACTAAGCTTAGTTATGACCATCTACTGTTATAGCTTTTTTTGGGGTCTCATACAGAAAGAACTGTCCTAACCTAATTACGTATTATTCCACTCTGACAATTCTGCAACACAAACTCTGTCTTATCTGTAAAACATATTCTTTGCGACAGCCAATTTATCCCCAAACACAAAACATTTACTCTACTTTGATTTTCCTCTAATTGCAGGGACTACACACTTCACAGCGAATTTTATTAAAATAACAGAATTTCCCAAATCATCAAACATTTTAAATAATATGAAAAAAAAACGAATAAAAACTTAAAAACAAATAAGTAAAAAAATAATTAAAAATAAAATAAATATAAATACATATATAAAAAAGACAATTAAATATGAAAAAATAATTTATAATTAAATAAAAAAATAATCAAATAAAATATAAATAAAAAAAAAATAATATATAAATAAATAAAAAAAAATAAATAAATAAATATAAATAAATAAAAAAAAAAAATAAATAAATATAAATAAATAAAAAATAAATAAATAAATAAATAAATAAATAAATAAATATAAATAAATAAATATAAATAAATAAATATAAATAAATAAATATATATAAATAAATATAAATAAATAAATATAAATAAATAAATATAAATAAATAAATATAATAATAAATATAAAAAAATAAATAGAATTAAAAAAAAATTATATTAATAAAAAAAAATATAATATAATTAAAAAAAAATTAATATAATTAAAAAAAAAATAATTATAATTAAAAAAATAAATATAATTAAAAAAAATTAATATAAATAAAAAAAATAATATAATTAAAAAAATAAAGTATAATTAAAAAAATTATATAATTAAAAAAAAAATAATTATAATTAAAAAATAATATAAAGTTATATATAATAAATATAAAAAAATAAAATATATAAATAACAAAAAAAATTATATAAATAAATAATAAAACAAATAAATACAAATATAAAACAAAAAAAGATAAAATAATATATTAAAAAAAATAAAATAAATATTTAAAAAAAAATTAAAATAAAATAATAAAAAACATTAAATATAAATAATAATAATAAAGTTAAATATAATTAAAAACTAAATATAAATAAATAAATAAAACAATTAAATATAAAAAATTTTAAAATAAATGATATATAAATTAATATTTAAATAATTATATAAAATATATAATAATATAAAATATATAAAAAATATAAATATATAAAAAATATAAATATATAAAAAATATAAATATATACAAAATATAAATATATAAAAAATATAAATACATATATGAAAAAAAGTATTTTTATATATAAACATTTTTACAAATATAAAAAAAAATCATAAATAAAATGAATACAAAAAAAACATAAATAAATAAAATTAATACAATAAAAACATAAATAAATAAAATAAATACAAAAAGAAAAAACATAAATAAATAAAATAAATATTTAAAGAAATAAATAGAAAAAAGTGCCATCATTATATTTCATTATGAATTGTTTGTAGCGTTAAATATACTAAAAATAAACTACAGCCTCTGTTAAATTTCAGCTGGTCTTACAAAAAAAAATAAAAAAAAAAAAACGAAAATGTAATGGGTTACTTATGAATGATATATTTCAAAGTATAATATTTAACGTCTTCAGGTAGTTTCACTTGAGGCTGGATCAGCAACAGGGAATACGAAATAAACAGTTTTCACAAAATAATTTGGAAATTCTCTTATGTATTCTTGCAAACTTCAGGTACAAATAAATGTATTTAATACAATAAAATTATTCCCTCCATATTCAGGTAACATAAAAATGGTTTTAAATAAATTAAATTGAATATTTAAAAGACAGTATAGATTGTATCAACGTGATTGATCAGTTGATGACTAACGACTTATGTTTATAACATAAAAAATAAATGTAAACAATCAAAACAGTATCAGATTAACTCTGCGTATAACAATTAAAATCTCATATGACAATGAAGTTGTAATAAACAACGCAGCTTAGTCAGATGTTTGTATACTGAAACAGACACACGTCTCTTGGATGAAAAACCTTTCTATATACAATATTCTATAAAATACAATATTCTATAATATACAATATTCTTTAATATACAATATTCTATAATATATAATATTCTATAATATATAATATTCTATAATATACAATATTCTATAATATACAATATTCTATAATATACAATATTCTTTAATATACAATATTCTATAATATATAATATTCTATAATATATAATATTCTATAATATACAATATTCTATAATATACAATATTCTATAATATACAATATTCTATAATGTACAATATTCTATAATATATAATATTCTATAATATATAATATTCTATAATATATAATATTCTATAATATACAATATTCTATAATATACAATATTCTATAATATACAATATTCTATAATATACAATATTCTATAATATACAATATTCTATAATGTACAATATTCTATAATATACAATATTCTATAATATACAATATTCTATAATATCAATATCCTATATTCTAAAACTTCGCTGACAATAAATTTTTGCTAAATAGAATATACATACTGTAAATATACACAATAAATATATACAGTAAATATAAGCTATGTTAAGCAGACGTCTTCATAAAAGGACTTATCACTTTACCATGATATGTTCTCATTGTTCTTGTGCTAGCCCGAGGATATCTATTAAGCAGATAAATTAAAGAAATTAATAATAGAATGTAAAAATGGATTGGAGAGAGGGTGTGATGATATGTTTCTAGTTTTCAATGTTAATTTTTCATCCTTTTTTAAAGCGAGGTTTTCTTAGTACAGATGAAATTGCTGATCCCGTTGATGATCGCTTAGGACCATGCAACACGGCTTTGACTCAGTGACGAGGCACAGATAGCCTCGACTATTTGTTTTTTTATAATTTGTATTGAATTTTATATTTTCAATTTTATAATTTGTATTGAAAACAACTATTTTGATTTTGACAAGCACATGACACTATATAAATTGTTATTGTATTATTGAATTTTTGTTTTTTTATAATAATTATAAATAAATTTTTTCTTGCAATAAAATCTGTTTTAATAGTTCTTGGTATAGAACAAACATGCATGCAGTTACAGGCACATTTTTGCTACCACTTGTTGGTGTAAAGCTGAAAGCCTACCAACACAAAGCCAAAATGAAATAAAATACTTCAATTTTGTTTCACCACAAAAAAAACAAATAATTTAGCACTTATTTTGCAATAAATTTAAGAATTTATGAATGCAAAAGACTTACTTGATTATTAATAGTACCGGCTAATTTCAATACAGTAGAAATTTTATCCTTTTTCTTTGTGTCTAGAGCCGCACCAAACACCTCCTCGCCGTCTTCTATTCCTGCTCCTGCATCAGCATTTTCATTGTCTAAACGGCAGCGCTTGGCGTTCAGAACAAAGGCACCCAATGGCTCCTCGTCAATGTGTCGTTTGACGCGTACAACTGCTGGCATTATGGCAATAAATTATTATTAATAGTTTTTATTAAAATTTTTCAATTATTGTAACAATCAAACGCAATTTAACAACTTTTCTGCGAAAATTTCAGAGCTGATAAGTTTATGCGGAGAGCCACACAAGAACGACCAGCAGTTTTCAATTTTCGTAACAAAATGATGTGCTCACTTATTAACGCCGATAGTACACAAAAACTGTGTTATTGCTCAGCTTGTGTAATTGAACCGTGTCAATCAGATTTAAAAATACAACTGAAAAATTAAAAATTGTTTTGAATGTTAATTTATTTAAATTTCGAATACTAACTAAATTTATTTTTTAAAATTTAAAATCACTGAATACTTGTTTAATTTCTTAATATTAATTTTATGATTTACTTATTAAAATTAATTTTTTATATTATATATAAAACATTATATGATATATATTTTTTTGTTGTGTTGTGTGCAATATGCAATATAAAAATTGCAATTACTAAAAATTAATAATTTTAATAAAAGAAAACGAAATTAATATAAGAAAGGCAATGGTAAGCATTTTTATCTTAAATATTTAAATTAATTTATTTTTTTATATATATCAATTTATTAGTAAATAAAATGTTTACATGATTTTAACAGATGACTGGAATTTTGCAATATATTTCCAGTGAACATTCACAATAGATTAATTTTTTTACTTACATGATTTTAACAGATCACTGGAATTTTGCAACATATTTCCAGTGAACATTCACAATAGATTGATTTTTGAATTTGACTGCACTGACACTTAAGACTTAAAATTTTTTACGAGTAAAACCTATCTCTGAAAATTTTAAGAGCAAAATTGTTGCTGCACATATTTTCTTTCGTAAGTTGCGAGTATTTTTTGCTAGTCTGAAAGAAAAAACTACAGCTTATTTTAAAATAAATGACACAAAAAAGTTATTGGTGAGTATTTTTTACTGTTTGTATTTAAATTTATATAAAAGCAAACATTTTTTTTTGGCTTTATCCATAATTCTGTCAGTCTGAATATTTTCGTTTTCTGTTAAATTAATATGAACAGGAAAGCTTTAACAAAACGAGAAAATATTCAACATCATGTTGACGAAGTGATGTTGAAGCAACGGCATAGTATGTAGTAATTGTTTGAATTTAGTAAGGCATTTAGGCAATACGAGATTGTAAATACATTCGTTAATATAATTTTCACACTTCTAACATCACTAGTTAATGCTAAATGAGCTGTATGGAACACTATTTTATTTTTCTGGCAATTGCCTTATAATCTTTTTGCTCTTATTTTAGCAATTGTATTTTTATTTATCCATGTATTAATAAATAATTAAATTCTTCATAATTACTAACTTGTCAGTCATATACACAAATTTTATTAAAAAAATTATTATTTTTTAATATTTAAATTTACTCATTAACACGTGCAATAGTTGTAAATAATAAACAGCTGACTAGAATTTTCCATTTTCTTCCAAAAATCATTCACAATAGATCAGTTTAGAGATTTGGCACTATTGTAGTGCGAAAGGTTAATTCTTTAAGCATTTTTAGGAAAGTGAGCTTTTTTTGCGAATTTTGTTTTTGCTTTGTATGTTCGTTTTTAAGCGACATGTATTCTGTTGGAACATTGATTTTTTATTGGAAAGCTTTAAAATGCTTTGTGTAGTGTTGTGTATTGAAAATTGTACATAAGCCAATGTTGCAAGTCCAAAAATAATTACCCTGCGGTCCCTAACATTGTATTTCAAAAGTATCAATGGCGAAATTGGTACAGTAGGACTCTTCTAGCCGCAGTACCGGCTGTTGGGCCATTTCAAGTCCATGAATTTAATAATAACAATATAAATATAGTTAATATTCTATACTATGTGGACTGAATTGCTCTAGAAATTTTCTTTAATGGCCGTGTGCGAGTTAGAGTAAACTGAGGAAAATAGTAAATTATGTCGGTATGGCAGCGAATGCTGATATTTATTAGATTTTCGAGTAGGGTAAATTAGGTAAAAATTAGGTAAATTCGATATTACCAATGAGAACATTTTATAAGATGTTTAATAAAGAAATAAATAAATTCGAAAAGTTTTAACAGAAAAATAAATAATAAAATCCCTAGAAAATTTCAATTTATATACATACATATATATTTAGCAACATTTTTTATTAAGTTATGCGTTTATTTATAGGGTAATGTGTCCACATCTCGTTTTACTAATATCTACTAATTTCTATTTATAGCAATTTTTTTTTTGTTTTCTTAACAACCAAAATATGTTTATTTTTATTGTTTTATTTAATTTCCTAATCTAATAATCAAAATATTTATTTCCACACAACGTAAATAATTATGAGTTCTTTAATTGTCTTGCACTGAACAAGCTCATTCAGAATGAATTTTTTATACACTTCTCTTACACAGAGTGAGTATTATTCACTCAATGCTATTAAATTCATTTTAGAGCTGCCATTTTTTCTTAATATTTGTTATTTGAGTTAAAAGTGTATTAGGGTACACAACTTATATATTCTTGTGTATAATAGTGTCATGGAAACAGAGCATAGTTTAGTTAAAATTAAACATTTAATATATAAATTGACAATTATTTTTATAGCACTTAAATTAGTTTGGTTATTTCAATGAATGTTTATTTTGTGTTTTTTGTTAGTCTTTCATACATATTGGCACGAGATTTAATGGATAATTTTGCTTGTGCTGCTTATGTTTGGTAATCCTATTGCAACAGTATGTTAAAAAATAGTAATTGCAATTCAATTTAAGACACAATTTGTTACACAATTTGTACGTAAGCTGAGCAACGAAATAAAAATCACAAACATTCAATATATTTATCGAAATGTGTTAAAAATGCAGCTCTAGTACAGCGACATCTATATTATAGTGTATTAAGGTACTAGCAGTAATATCTAGCCACCTATTCCAAGGCATACGAGTAGTATGCACTTAACTAAAGACACAGACAAACATTATACAGATTGCGAATTCAGAACTAAAAAATGATTCCCTTTGATTTCATGGTAGCCAGCTCGAGTAGCCAGCTAAAAGCACAATGAGCTTTGATTTGTAGAACAATTAAGGCAAACAAAAGCTGCGTATAACACAATGATCTTTAGTGTTCGAAATATAAAACCCATTTTCCTTGTTTTATGCCCATGATTTCTGACTTAGATGAATCTAGCACCTTCGTCTACTGGAATGGAGTTTTCTCATTACTGTGGAAATTTTCTCCTTTCATTCCTTAGAGGTGCTTTAGTGGGTTCAAGTCTCACACGGCGGCTTTCGATGCTTCCACCTATTGTAAAAAAAAAATCGAAACATAAAATAGAGTTGTTAAATGTGCGTATGGAAAGGTTTGTGATATAGTGTAAAAATTGTTGCTGTTGTTTCTGTTCATATTAGTGGCTATTATGAAACTTCTACCGATAGACGATGGACTTTTATCTACTTACTTACTTTTTATTGGTAAGCAAATTTGGTATTATGAAACTTGATAGACAAACATGTGCACTATTGTGAATGATATTAGGGTTTTAGAGCGTGCAGCTTTAATCGAACTTATTTTGTTATTTTGTTTGATTTGTGTTTGCTAAGAAACATTAAAATTGAATTCAAATTCTTTTTAAAATAAATAAAAATATATTTTATTTATACGAAATTATTATTTAATATTACATTACATTAATAAACTAAAGTAATATATTATAATTAAATTTTAATATTCTAAAAATAAATATGTTTGCATTTATATTAATTTTAATATTTTTATAATTTGTAGTTATATTTTCATTATATGTATATTAAATTATATTAAATTAGTAAAATAAATATTTTTTTAAGCATTTGAAGCTTAAGAGACCGTTATTTATATCTTTTGTCGGTATTTTCGATAGCCAATTTTATTTTTTCTTGTATTAGAGTAAGTTTTTGGTCACAATACTCATGCCTCCCTTCACTAAAATGTTTTCAATATTTTCTAGGCGCCTAAACTATTAAGTTATTAAGCTCTATTGCAATTTTCTTCCACGGTGGTCTGGAATGTGACTTGTTGCAAATGCCTTTCGCAATGTCTGGATATTTCTCCATATTTGCAACAAGTTTTACTATCTGCTTTTTATTCATTTATTTTTATTTTTATTTTTAATAATTTCGCCCTACAACAAAATTTATTAATTTTATTATTTCTTAATTTTATATAAATACATTATTCGTTGAAAAATATATCTAAGAAATTTGAAAAATGATTGTATGTTGAAAATATTTGAATAAATACACATAAATAAATAACAAAACAAAAAAATGCAACAATCATTATACTCAATATACATATAACACATTACACTTGAAACCAGATATATTAAATGATATACTATATTATATTAAATCTAAATGAATTATTACTAACTAATAAATTAGTAATATTAAAATTATATTAAATTTATATGTTAAATTGACTGTATAAACCGTTTTAACAGCATTTATTTTATGCGATCGATAAACTTCTACTGCTCAAATGCAGTAGAGAAATTTATCTACCGCTGATAGAAAAACTTCTATCGATTTGCATTTCATAATACCAAAATTTGATTTTTTCTACCAGCAGTAGAATTTTTTCTACTGTCAATCAGCGATCGACAATCCATCATAGGCACTATTGTTGGTTTGGGTGCTTATGTGGTTTATATGGTGACGATTTTCTGTTTTGCGATCTTGAAGGCAATCATTGAAGTGCAATTTTTTGTTGTTATATTTACAATATTTTGCTTGTTTTTGGATTAAGAAGAAATAGAGACGAAAGGGCGTCCAATAGTAGTCAGACACGAAGAAGAGTTGTTTAAATAACTAATTAGTGCTGAATGGACACACAAAATATAAACTCATAGTATTTGTTTTTGTATACATTTTTCCTAAAATATAAGATTGACTTGATTATAAATTTGATTTTTGATGAAACTTTATACTGGTCTCATGCACATATATGAGGTTTGCCTATTATGTGGTTAGTAAACACCGGCAGTAGCCCAACCATAGTTGCTGTTAGTGAAAATGGTGTTAATATGTATGGTAGTGAAAACAGTATTATGACCTATAGTAGTCATGATATCATGATATACCTTCTGCTCAAAAAGTACTCAGTTTTTGTAAATAAAACACACAAGCTTAAATTTTGTTCCAAATTCATTTTATCTCCTTCAAAATATGCTCCTTCTGAAGTGATACACATATGCCAAC